AAATGTTCTGTAACTTTTTACTGCAATTGAATATGCCAAAACGCAGACACGTTTTTTAAGCGCTTTGGGCCCTGAAACCAAGGAAAAAATTAAATTGGCAAAAAACGAAATTCGCTTTGACTTGTAGCTTCCTAAAGGTGATTAGGGCGCTCGCATTTAGTGGTCGTGAAAAATTCGACAATTCATTTTCTTTCAAAATTCTTAGTATAGTTTGATAGCCAGCTCCATAAGCTTTAATTTGATATAGGGGTTTAGCTATCTACAGCTTAAACTGCACGCACTACATCGCTTGCACGCAAGACACCCCTGAAGGTATACTGTAACCTTAATTATTATCTCTTTGGTGTTTTTCCATCATAGTAAACTATTATTTTCAGTTTCCTTCAATTTAAAGGTAATTTTGCACATGGCCAAAATATCTCAAAATTCCACAACTGAGTGCCTTGTAATGCGTAGTTCTTTTTTAGTCCAGTTGGCACTTCTGTTAGTATGAGAATGGTTAGGTCTCATATGTTCCTAAGAATAGGACTATATATCACTCTACAAACGTGTACACTACGTAATGGTTGGTGCATTAATTTTGGACTCTAGATGAATTTGTTTTTGATTCCCCTCTCCAGCCAGGAATTGCTCTTTCAAAGCATGTCTGAGCTTATCCAGGATTAGGGTGAATTATGATCCCAGCACAGGGACCAGTTTTTCCAAGGGTAGATAATACGATAAACCAGATAAATCTATATCCAGTGGACTAGTGTTGGTAAAACAAACTACACTATTCACTAGATAGTGATTTACACTGGATCTGGTGGATAGCATCATACACCGTTTGATCAACTGGGGCCAGGTGTATGAATATGTACAATTTATTGAATTCAGGAGTTAGAGTTAACCCTGTAGTGTTCTAGCATCCTGCCCAAGGAGGAGTAGAAATTCTACTCCTGCTCCTTAATGCTATGGAAACAGGAGCAAGCTCCAGCATTTGTGGTACCCAATGCAGACTTTTCCTTGCATTCCTGTAAGGGCTGCATGTGTCATCTGTCTCCACTTTGTCTTTACATTATCTTATCATCCCTTAACTAGTTACCAAGTGGCTCCACGCCAAGAGCAAGAATCTGATGATGAAGATGATGAGGAAGGTTCTCTCGAGGAAGCAGAGGGTGAAGAAGACAACGAGAAAGATGCTGATGAAAAGAAGACAGAAAAGGAGAAGAAAAGAGAAGAATATGGCAAAGATGAAGAAGATATAGCAGAAGAAGAGTAAGTAGTGGTTATACCTAGACGTACCTTTTTAGTATGCTTCAGGCTTTGTGCCAGTAGGAGGGTCAGTGGTTTTCACAGGTGGGCCAAACATTTTGAAGTGAACTTCTTATGAGAAACACTTTCCTGTTGATGGTCCAACCAGGTGGGCAAAATCATCCTCACAGCTGGTCAATTTGCCCGGTGCTCAGCCGTTAATGAAACCCCTGGTAATTTATTGGCTTCCAGTTTTGATTGGTATGCAAGATTGCCTGTGTCCTTTGTGTTAGGCTGGAGTAACTACTTTGGTGTTGGTTTTATTGATTCATGATGTTGTTTGCTAATAAACTATAATAAAAAAAATGACAGACAGCAGTTTTGAAGGAAGCTACCCTAAAACTGGTTTAAACTTACCGTATTTTCCTTGAAGATATTAGCTTTTTTGCTACCTGTAAATTTGAGTCAAAATAAAGTTATGATAAGTTAATAAAGATGGTGAATTTTAAGCTCGGTAATGAAATGTGAAGGTGAATTAATCAACATGACACGAGC